ATAGCAAACCCATAAAACCAACAAGAACACCCCAGAAGGTCAGTGCTAGGATCCCAACCTTGGCCTAGAAGCCAGGTCTCTCACTGCCCTTCGCCACTCCTCCTGCCCCTCTCCTCAACAACTGTAGCGGCTTCTAAACAATGGAATAGAGGTGTTCTGCTGCCATGTCCCTTATCCTTTCACAAGTCCATTTCCTTTTGTTTGTTTCTGGATTTCAGGAAGATCCAAGTAAGGCACCCCCTCCAAACCCCCACCCCCAAAAATTCCCCCCAAACCCAGAACCCAGTGATGCGTCGCCCAGGCTTCTACTTGTAGCAGTATTCTGTTTCAGCCCTACTTTGGCAAGCCTTTCTTCGTAGACCAGGGCCACTTACCCTAAGCACTACCTGTGTTTTTCCACCTGAGGGACAGATTGAGGACTTAGTTTCCTTCTCCAGATCTATATATTCTCTCGACCTTGCGCTGAAAGCTTGTAATTACCTCCCTTACCACCTTAAAACACCAAACACTTCTTCCTAAACCTTCAACAGTGCGACACTGAACTGAAGTTTAGATAATTATGAAGCATTAAAGCAGCTCTTCTTACGCCTCGTAACAAGCTCTTTCATGAGTCACTGCGTCCATTTTAAAAAGAGGCAGAGATAATGATGAACAGAGTTGAAGAATCTTGGAAAGGCAATCAAATGACTTAGGGAGATATTGTACAGCAGCTCAAACATTAACTTGGGGACTTTCCCAGTTAATATACGGCTTTATTTTCTATTCTTGGAAACGGACCAATCCACGGTGTGGTCAAATGTGGAAATATTACTTCCAATGAGCAGAAAAGATAGAAAGTGACTATACTGGCATACTGGTCATACCCTGCCAAGCTCACCCCCCTGACACAGGGTGTCCCCCCCGTACACAGGCCAAAACAGACATAACCTTCAGCAAACCTCCTTCCGGGACAGCTTTCTTACACATCAAAAAGGAGCGAGGGGGAGAATGTTTCTATCTCCATAGAGACACTTCCCAGGTTGTCATGAGATCTGAATGGGCAAACATCACGGAAAACCAGCATGCACTGTGGGCTTTCGAGCCACAGGAGCACGAGCCTCAAGACCTTTGTCATCAGCTCAGCCCTGCGTTCTGGAAGTTCGGAAGGATTCTGAGAAACAAAAAAAGGTAACTCAGCCAAAAAAGAAAAGACTGTAAAGCCGCTTCCATCCAAGATATAAAAGATGCTTAACAACTATTTTACAAAGCGCATCAGGGGCGCCTGGGTGGTTCAGTCAGTTAAGCATCCGACTTCGGCTCAGGTCATGATCTCTCCGTTTGTGAGTTCCAGCCCCGCGTCGGGCTCTGTGCTGACAGCTCAGAGCCTGGAGCCGGCTTCGGATTCTGTATCTCCTTCTCTCTCTGCCCCTTCCCTGCTTGCTCTCTGTCTCTGTCTCTCAAAAATAAATAAAACATTAAAAAAAATTTTTTTAAAAGCAAAAACAAAAACAAGGCGCATCAACAACAGCCTGCATATCTGTGATAAAGTGATTGCAGGAAGTGTTAACAACTGCAGAGTTCAGGTGGATGGGGGTGCGTGTTGGTGAGGCTGCGAGTGGAGAAGGACACAGGTGTCCACCGTACAATGCTCTGGATTGTTCTGTATGTTTGAAAACTTCCACACAAAATCATTGGGAGAAAATAATCCAGACAGTTGGCATCTTCAATATCGTGTGGGACTTGTGTGCAACAGATTTGCTAAGCTCCACAGAATGTTCTATTTATGCAACAGAAACATTCCCCGACTTGGAATGGTGGGAAATATGATCAGTAAACACCCGTCGCTCTAAGCCTTCCAGAGTCCTAGGCAACATCCCATCTAAGATGCCCTTAAGCTGCAATTACTTCTGCAGATGGCGATTTCCCTCCGTCCCCTCCTTTGCAGAATTAAATGTTCAGGAGGCTAACCTTTTTCTGTACTTCTCTGCTGTCTCAGATCATTAAAAATCTAGGGTGTAAATGTTTATTATTCTTGCATGGTGCATAAACCAATTTCTACCCAACCCGCAATACTGAGTTCTAATTAACAAAGTGATTAGGCTGTGCGGCCCCGTGGGAACGGCAGAAGATGGGAAGTTGGAGAAGCCAGGGGTGAGGCCGGCCTCCGCGGGCGAGTGGCCGCCTCTGACCACGCGGCCTCCTCGGGGACAAAATGGAGGTCACACGTGCCACATCGCCTCCAAGTGTTTGTTCTGAGCGTAGGTAACTATAAATACGTGTATTGACAACACAAAGAAACGAGACAGCACTTTGAACACTGTGACGCGTAATCCGCTGGAGTCCGGTTCCTAATTTACTTGGAACGGCTTTTGCACCTGTTTTGGAAAACAGTGCTTGCTCTTTCCACATCACGCGCAAACAGTTGCTAGAATTCAGAGTTTGGGACCTGGTGGTGTAACGATTGACGAGGGGGAGCCAAAGGGAAGGCTCGGGGCCTGCCTGAGCCTCCTCACCAGGCAAAACACCAAGTGGGTTAAAGGAGAAGCAGGTAGGACGGGGGCGGGTCAAAGGTCACCGGACAAAGAGAATTGAAGCTGAACCCTCCCCTGCCCCCAATGTTTCTGTCAGGAGAGCAGACCTTTCAGGAGCAGACAGACGCTCAGCGTGCGAGGCTGGGGTCTGGACACGGAACACTACTGGAAGAGATGGGCCCGGCTACATGTCAGTGTCTGGAGGTCCTCCCAGGAGCCTCTGTTGCTCTCTCAAAGGGCATCCCAGCCTCTGACACCCGGCCTTTCTCTGGGCAAGCGCTCAGGAAATGGAAGCCGCGCTACCCATGAGGAGTCCTAAGGTTACAGGTGGGGCGGACAAGGTCAGCCACAAATTCTGACACACAAAGCCAAGGGGCCAAAGCCCTGGTAGACACATATGTTTAGGGAACACGCTTATGGGCCTTCATCTTCATACTCAAATGCAACGGCTGATCCTACACCAGCCCGTCTCCTGGAGGGGGAAAATGCCATCAAGGTCATTGTGTCAGGGGGTGGATGGTGATGAGGGGATCAGACAAAAGCATCACATCAGTGAGAAATTTCCTGGAGGTGGTGACCGTCCTGTGGCTGTGTGAGAGACTATTCTTAAGAATTGAGAGAGTATTCTTAAGAAATACCCAGTGAACTGGGTGACGTTAAACGGTCCTGATTTACGTAGCTTGCCCTCAACTGGTTCAGAACAGAATTGCCTGTTCGAGTGTATGTGCATGCAAACTTCAGAGACAGAGAGAGACAGAGAGTATCAGAATAAATCAAACAGAGCCAAAAATTAAAACGCGGAGGAGAATATATGGATTTTGTACTATTCTTATTCTTGCAAATCTTTGAGATCATTCCCAAATCAAAAGTAAAAAGAGAAAGGTGGAGGAGGAAAGGGAGACAGTGGAATGGCTCTGTGACAGTTACTTGGAGTGGATCATCACTGAAAGGTGGTAGAAATTGAGCGATCAGTCTTGTTAGATGTCCTTAAACTAAAACACGACCAGACAAAACAAAACAAATGCTTCAGGAGACATTACCAAGACAGCGCAAAGACAACCCAGAGAATGGGAGAAAACATGTGTCAGTCACAAATATGATAAGGGTTTAGGATGCAGAATATATAAAGGACGGTTACAGCTCAATAAACTGGAGACTAATTACCCATTTAAAAGCGGGCAAAGGATTTGGTAGACATTTCTCCCAAGAAGGTACGCAAAAGGCCAATAAGCCCATGGAAAGATGCTCCACATCCTTAGCCTACCAGGGAAATGCAAATCACAGCCACAATGAGATCCCACCCCACACCCAGCTCAGAAAGACCGTGGATAACAAGCGTTGGCAGAATGTGGACAAATTAGAACCCTCGCACGCTGCTGCGGTGGGAACCAAGACTGGTGCCCTCGCTTTGGAAAGAGGTGTGGCAGAGCCACAAGAGGCTAAAGTGTAGTGTTCACAAACGACCCAACCATCCCGCTGCCAGGAAACGAAAACTTGTCCACACAAAAGCCCCGTGCACGAATGCTCGTAGCAGCATTATTCATGACATAGAAACAGCCCAAACGTTCAACTAAAGAATCGAGAAGCAAAATGCGGCATCTCTCTACAATGGAATATTATTTGGCAATAAAAAAATAAAGTGCAGATACAGGCCACAACATGGGTGAACCGTGAAAAAAGGCTAAGTGAAAGAAATCAGTCACAGAAGAGCACATAACCACATTCCATTCATGTAAAGTCCAGAACAGAGATACAGAGACAGAAAAATTAGTGGGTGCCGAGGGCTGAGGGACAATGCTAGGCTTAGGGGGTAACTTCTCCGACGTTAGGTGCCTTTCGGGTATAAAGACTGTTCTAGAATTTATTATAGTGAGAGTTCCACAACTTGGTGAATATACTAAAAGCCACTGGATTGTTATCTTAAAAGAGTGAATTTTGGGGCACCTGGGTGGCTCAGTCAGTTAAGTGTACAACTTCAGCTCAGGTTATGATCTCCTGGTTTGTAGGTTCGAGCCCCACATTGGGCTCTGTGTTGACAGCTCGGAGCCTGGAGCCTGCTTCCGATTCTGTCTCTCTCTCTCTCTCTCTCTCTCTCTCTCTCTCTCAGTCCCTCCCCAACTTGTTCTCTGCCTCTCAAAAATAAATAAAGGTTAAAAAAACTTTTTTAAATAAAAAAAAAGAGTGAATTTTATGGTATGTGAATGCTACCAATAAAAAAAACAAATGGTTGTCTTATTGCTAGTTAGTGCCTAGGGATGGGCAAACAGGGTCACACAATCTACAATAAGAAGTAATTAAGGGTTCATGGCCTTGGGCTTATACTAGTCACAGAGCGCTAACAAGTTTCCAACTTCTAAATCTCTGGAGGAGGAGAGCATATAAGGCCTGGCTTCTACACATTTCTGAAGTCTTCTGAGTCTCAGAATAAAGAATTGCCCCCAGCTTCGTCATCTGTGACATGGAAATAATAATTCAGTAATTCAACGGTTGCAGACGGCCTGCCAAGTTTCAGGGACTGATGCTAGGAATTTGCAGAAAAGTTAACACCTGAGCCCTGACCAGAAGGATCTCGTAACTTATCATCAGAAAGACCTGAGGGCCTGAGGGCCTTTGGGGCTCTGGGTTCCTGACCAGGAGGGCACTGGGGAGTGGAGAGCTGGAGGGGCACAGAGGGAAGGCACTGTGGGTACATTACGGTGCTGACCATCAATGGTACCCTTAACCATCCGGCCCCCGGACCATTCTCAGGATCTCCACCCCCACCTCAGAGGTCTGTAAAAGCTCTCAAAAGCACCAGAAGAAACAGAAGGAGATGGAAGGTGTGGCTGACATTTTCACCCCATTTGGTAAATCCCTGTTCTCAAGTGCAGAGCAGGTCTTAGGTTCACAAAGAAGAGAGAGCGCTCCTCCCAGCCCAGCTAAGCCTGCCCTGAGGTGTGCTGGCCCTTCCTGCTGGCCCCTGGGGAGAAAAAGCACTTCTGGGGGTAACTGGGAGAGTCCTTCCTTTTAATCAGGGAGCACTGTTTGAGGAAACAGTTGGGGGGGTTGGAGGGGAGGGAGGAAGAATGTTAACAGATCAGTTAAGGATGCAGTCTTCATTTGGGCCACACACAAAAGTGTTAAATGTAAATCTCCCTTCTTTGGTAAAATTACCGATTAGGAAAACTGTCCAAGGCACAATGTGCACAAAGCTCCTTCAAGATGGGCTCTGAAATGGACGAGGCTCAGTCTGGATGAACTCCATCGAACCCTCTAAGACCCTCAAAGGGTTTTTCAAAAAAACCCGCAAAACCACAAGGATGAATTAAGGATTCTCTTCTAACTTTGGCTGGTGTAAAGCATTAAAAAAAAAAAAAAAGAAAAAGAAAAATTCCTTTTTAAAATCTCTTGGCGATTCGGAGCCAAATATCAGGAGAGCATCACAAGGCAAACCAAAAGGTTTATCTGTCTCTGCAGGTAAGCGATCCCTCCAATTATGTGGGTCGCTTTGTGTAAGTGCTCTTTGTGACATGATCGAAGACAGCAAATGAGAAAAAAAAGTGCCTTCAAGATATCAGGAAAGTGTTTAAACATTCAGTACATTTTGTTTTAATTTTCTTAAAGACCAGATTCTGCCTACGAGTGTTTTTTTTTTCAACTGTGCCTAAAAAGAATTATTCACGTACAATTTTTTCCATCTACTTCTAAATCGGTTCAAGAAGGAAATCAAGAAAATTCAGAGTTATAAACAACTACACCAGCCAATCCCTTTATGGGCGAGCCGACCCATGAAGATTAAATCAAGAGTAAGCTCGAACCCGGGTCAGAACTCTCATCTGCTCATGGACTGGTCAGTACCTTCCTGCTGTTCCAAAATGTCTCAAGGAACCTCACCCTGGTTTAAGGACAAGTCTCCCCCAGGGAACAGAGGCAGGTGAACAAATAAAACTATTTGCATTTCCCCTTTATTGGTTCCAGACTATAGTTTGGATAATGTAATTACCTTTAAGATTTTTTTTTTTTTTTTTTTAAATGACTGGCTTCTTTTCTCCGGAAGAAATTAATGACTGCCTTCAGGAGTTTGCCTTTCTCAAGTTCAAGTTTACCAAACGACAGATTCCTCTGACAGTTCAAACTGTGTAAACTGGTGACAGAATCCTAGATACTCTCATGCTACCTGACACCGCAAAGACCACACGTCTGGGACTCACTCCACTCTCTTCTCTCTCACTGACGTCGAACGCTTTGGAAGCCAGCGCATGGCCGGGTGTGGGGTTTTAACTTGTTAGGTCAGGTCCGATGTTTCATGCTAACCTATAACCAAGGCATATACCTTAGGACGCATTAGGTGATTAAGTAAGGTGGTCTGGCGACACAGATCATGAATCTGAAATCGTGAACGTGTGAGTTTTACCAACACCCTGTGACGAACAGGCTTTGGGGGCTGTAACATACATGGCTGTGGCCCCTTTGGCCCGGTACGACAGCAATCTGAACACTCACTTGGGTGCAGTTACTCTTACTCTGGTATAAACGTGCAGGTTCCTGCATGCTGGCCCCGAAGGAACAGTCTAACCTGCTCAGAATCGAAAACTGTCTTTGTATTCCCACCAGGTGGGGTGGAAATAACCCTTCTCCCCTTAGACACCGCACAGGTTAGGAAAAGAGTCACCTGGGCAACAATAATGTTAATACTCGGCCTTCACAGATTCCACGCTCATTAGTCCTAATTGGTGAGGAGGGGGAAGACAGAAGGCTGGCCTTCAGACAACCGCGGAGAACCAGGCCCCTGAGGCTTCTTCACAAGTACCCGCCCTTAGAATCTACCTGATCAAACACAACAAAAGCTGGGGAATTGGCTTTGAGATGCTTTAAAATAAGATAATCCAGCGTGTTATCCTTTACACCTGCTTCTCAGGAGAACAAAAGCACAAGATCCACTCTCAATACAGGTCACCGGGGTTCCAGAAGATGCTAGTGTGTGTAAGCCTCTCTGACTTGACAACCTTATCCTCTAAACTGGGGGATTAAAGGGTCTTGGGTGCACCAATGGCAATAAGCTGGACAGGGCCTCTGGATTTCTTGACACTTAAGATTTTATCTTCTCAAAATTTCTGGGATGCGGTGTTATGGAAGGTTCCACGTGTGCCATGGTTATTTTTGCCCACTGAGTTTGTGTTTTTGCCTCTGTTTATTTTCTTCCTACTGATAGTATTTTAAGCCGCAGAAATTTAAGAAGGCCAACATCACATACCATTTTGATAGGAAATGCCAACATACCGAAAAACTGTATATACATGACAGAATGTTTCGAAGTTCAGCATACTCCCATACAGCAACTGCCTAATTCAAATAATAGAATGTGTGTCAGGGATCTAATTATTTTTCAAGAAATGCCATTTTTCATTCACATACATGTCTAGCAGGATACCAAAATATTCCTTGGAATATTTCCCTCACGAGAAAATAAATCAGGGTTTCTGCTGAACACGCTTGTCTCTCCGTAAAATCTTCCCAAGTGTTGAAAAGTGGTACTACAGGTGTTAAATATCTTACGTCTTTCGCTCTTTTCTCAAAATGTGAAAAAACTTCCTAACTTCACACCCGAACACTGAAACGCTATAAATCCCGACTCCTCGTAAAACAACCTGGCTGTGTCCCTTCCTTTCCCCCTGTGCTTTATTTACAGTTGAGTACAATTAAGAAAAGCACTGTCTGTGTTTGTTAAATTCGGCTCTTTATTTCAAACGGAGGCTACTTTTGAGCTTTTAAATTTTCTACCTGCACCCACTGAGGCCAAGCACACAGAGCCTCAACCTTAACCCAAAGCCTTGGCTGAAATCGCAAAATTCTTGAATCAGAGATAGCAATCCCTACCAGCAACAGATTCGGGACTTTCGTGGAATGTCACTGCTTTACCATTCCCCGTGTAAGTTTGCCAAATGGAAAATCCCCAGGCAGCTGGCAGAATAAAAATGCGTTTGGTGTTGACAGTCACGATAGAGCATGGGGACTACAGAATCGCTCCCAAATCCATTCATTCCTATGCCAAGGCATCCTTTTAAAATGGGGTGTGAGAGTCATTGCCAATGGAATGTTCCAAGCTGATGACATTTCAAATAGGCTTTCAAGGTGCTGACAATGGATCTCCCCTCATGTCCAGCCACAGCGCTCACTCCCAAGAAGATTTTACCCTAGAGGAAAAGGGTAAACCATTTTCCAAGTCCAATTTAATTTGGTCTACGTCTTGGAGGGAAGGTCATTTCTCTTACTAAAAGGCTCAACCTCTTTGCTCTCTTTCTCTAAAGATCTATAAATCACAGTTTGAGTGGACAAATTATAAAATGTGATATAATACGCTACATGTATGTGCCATATTTCTTCATTTCTGAGATTCTCACCGTTGTCACTGTCGCCCACATTTTAATGTTTCTGAAATACAGAGGCATCTTGCAATCAACATGGTAGTTTCATACAGTAGTATTTCTTACTCTCTACTCTCCAAAAAATTAATAAGTCAATGGTGCATCTTACAATGGAGGCAATAAATTGTTTAATGCACGGGGCTCCTGAAAATGATCTACCTAGATTAAATCCCATCAATCACATTTTAGTAGGATGCCACCACTTTAGGACCTAACACAGAATTTCAAGATGGAAATGCAACCACTCTTCCTTCCAAAAACAGACTGATGTTTTCCTTCTCATGATAGCTTGCTTTCTGTTAAGCTTACTCTACATGGAGAATCCAGTTACGATATTATCTGTCTATACCCGCAGGGTATATCAAAATACGGAATCAAATCTCTGATGCCATCACACATAAAAACAACTGAAAATATCCAAAAATATATTCCCCTCCCACCCCCAAAAATTTACAGGTACTTTCCCCTTTGTAAGAGAAGTTGTCTAGGTATATCCTTAGGAGGTCTGTAAACAAAATATTAGTTTCAGGGGTACCTAGTCTTTATTTTTTAAAGGTTATTTTCTAGGTAATGGTCCCCAACATATCAATTTTACATGCAGCCAATGACCTGTAAACTAAACTCAAATGCACAAGAGAACTTTCTGTTGTCGAAGATACAAACAAAAGTGGGGCTACAGAGGTTTTTCTCTACAACTCACAAAGGTAAATTCAAACACAGTTTCTCTGGGGGAAAAATCGGAGCCTTTTATTCTCTCTAAATGCCCCCAATGCCCTTTGTGTGAGGACTCTACACAGCGCACAAACACCTGCCGTGTGTCTGACTCCTTCAACAGCTGACTCCTTCAACAGCGCGGGTAAGGATTCAGGCTCCGGGGTCTTTTGCCAAACCCAGGAGTGTTGTCGGCCAATCCCCTGGCCCCGGGTAGCCTCCAGGTGAGAGTCCCACCTTGTTAAGCACGACTAACAGTAGATCAGGGAAAAGTGTTTCATGTAAAGCATCACCCATTGCAGGTGATTCAAGAAATCTGTTCTCAACTCCTAGCCCCACCTCCCCACTTTGGGACATTCCTCCTTCTAATTCTGACATGTCACCAAACTACTGGTTGTAATTAACATTCCGATTTATGTTAGAACTAGTTACATTTAAATAATAAGCCGAAATGAAAAGTCCGTTTGTAAAGGCATGGCCATGTGGCCATGGGTCTTGAAAAATTAAAAAAAAAAAAAAAAAAATACTGGGTCTTGAAAAAGAAAAAGACGACACTATTTCAGGACCTGACACTTTACGTCTCCTTAAAACCCACAACAGATCTAAAATATCTGATCTAAAATATATAAATACATCAAAGATCTTTGAAGAATTTGAGGGGCGCCTGGGTGGTTCAGTCAGTAAAGTGTCCGGCTTTGGCTCAGGCCACGATCTCAGTTTGTGAGTTGGAGCCCCACATCGGGCTCTGTGCTGACAGCTCAGAGCCTGGAGCCTGCTTAGGATTCTGTGTCTCCTTCTCCCTCTGCCCCTCCCCCGCTTGCTCGCATGCATGCTCTCTCTCTCTCTCTCTCTCTCTCTCTCAAAAATAAATAAACATAAAAAAAATTTAAAAAAAAGAATTTGGAAGGGATATTTTGCTTTGCTAAGGGATCACACATACACAAATTTTTTTAAAAAATCATTGCCAAGAATAATGTTTCCGTGGACATCACGTTGATTTAAATTTCATGGACACTCACTCCCAGCTTAAGGGTCCTGAGCCCCACTTCTCTTATCAATTAACCTGCCAGCTTGATTAGTCAAGTCTAATTAGTTAAATCCTTTTTTAATGAAAAGATTATGGCTTAAGCAGTCTGCCAGTTCCGGGGCTATTGGCAACTACAAGCTAATCTCTGCAGGGTGGGTGGGGGAAGGGCGTGGATGGTGAGGGGAGGCAAGGGGGTAAATCCTGAAATTCCAACGGAATCCAGAGCTCCAAGAATTCATCTAAGTCATAATCATAGCATCCCAAATACAATGAATATGCTGTACACGGATGCCCCAAGCCCCCTGCCTCTCCGTTATTTTGCACATGTAGCCTCTTCCCAAGGTAGTTACTTCCAAGTACCCAAACGAAATGGCTAAGTAATCTAGAGTCCTCAGTGAAAGTGGCGTAGCAGCAGGGAGAAAATGAAATCATTTTTAATTTAAAAAGTTACTGGTAACAATGCAGGGTATGTACCGGTAATGTAGGGTATCCTACAAGACCACCAGTCTGGATGCTTCAAAAGTTGATGTCGTTAAAAAATTTAAACAGTGGCACAAAAACAGACACATAGACCAATGGAATAGAATAGAAACCCCAGAACTAGACCCACAAACGTATGGCCAACTCATCTTTGACAAAGCAGGAAAGAACATCCAATGGAAAAAAGACAGTCTCTTTAACAAATGGTGCTGGGAGAACTGGACAGCAACATGCAGAAGGTTGAAACTAGACCACTTTCTCACACCATTCACAAAAATAAACTCAAAATGGATACAGGACCTGAATGTGAGGCAGGAAACCATCAAAACCTTAGAGGAGAAAGCAGGAAAAGACCTCTCTGACCTCAGCCGGAGCAATCTCTTACTCGGCACATCCCCAAAGGCAAGGGAATTAAAAGCAAAAGTGAATTACTGGGACCTTATGAAGATAAAAAGGAAAGGAAACAACAAGCACAGCAAAGGAAACAACCAACAAAACTAAAAGGCAACCAACGGAATGGGAAAAGATATTTGCAAATGACATATCGGACAAAGGGCTAGTATCCAAAATCTATAAAGAGCTCACCAAACTCCACACCCGAAAAACAAATAACCCAGTGAAGAAATGGGCAGAAAACATGAATAGACACTTCTCTAAAGAAGACATCCGGATGGCCAACAGGCACATGAAAAGATGTTCAGCGTCGCTCCTTATCAGGGAAATACAAATCAAAACCACACTCAGGTATCACCTCATGCCGGTCAGAGTGGCCAAAATGAACAAATCAGGAGACTATAGATGCTGGAGAGGATGTGGAGAAACGGGAACCCTCTTGCACTGTTGGTGGGAATGCAAATTGGTGCAGCCACTCTGGAAAGCAGTGTGGAGGTTCCTCAGAAAATTAAAAATAGACCTACCCTATGACCCAGCAATAGCACTGCTAGGAATTTATCCAAGGGATACAGGAGTACTGATGCATAGGGGCACTTGTACCCCAATGTTCATAGCAGCACTCTCAACAATAGCCAAATTGTGGAAAGAGCCTAAATGTCCATCAACTGATGAATGGATAAAGAAATTGTGGTTTATATACACAACGGAATACTACACGTGGCAATGAGAAAAAATGAAATCTGGCCTTTTGTAGCAACGTGGATGGAACTGGAGAGTGTGATGCTAAGTGAAAGAAGCCATACAGAGAAAGACAGATACCATATGGTTTCACTCTTAGGTGGATCCTGAGAAACTTAACAGGAACCCATGGGGAAGGGGAAGGAAAAAAAAAAAAAAAGAGGTTAGAGTGGGAGAGAGCCAAAGCATAAGAGGCTGTTAAAAACTGAGAACAAACTGAGGGTTGATGGGGGGTGGGTGATGGGTATTGAGGAGGGCACCTTTTGGGATGAGCACTGGGTGTTGTATGGAAACCAATTTGACAATAAATTTCATATATTAAAAAAAAAAAATTTAAACAGGTGTGTGTGGGGGCACCCGGGTGGCTCAGTCAGTTAAGTGTCTGACTCTTGGTTTCAGCTCAGGTCATGATCCCGCGGTTCGTGGGCTTGAGCCCCACATCTTGAGCTTTATGCTGACGGTGGAGTCTGCTTGGGATTCTCTTTCTCTCTCTCTCTCTCTCTCTGTCTCTCCATCTCTGCCCTTCCCCTGCTTGTTCTCTTTCTCTCTCTCTCAAAAATAAATAAACTTAAAAAAAAAAAAGGTGTGTGTGAGGGAAAGGATGGGGGTGGAGTTCAATATCAATTTGATTTTAAGAGGCCAAAGAGACAGATCAACCAAATGTGTGACCCTAATTGGATCTTAGATCCAGAAAAGAAAAAAAAAGGAAAAAGAAAAGCCCACTGTTGAAACACACACATGCCCATGTACACATGTACACACACGTACACACGTACACACGTACACACACACACACACACACACACACTCCCCACTTTGGACACAATCAAGGAAAGTTGGAAATGAACTTTAGATCAAATCACAGTTAACTTACTTAGGTGAGATAACAGTAGTGAGGTTTTGTTAAGCAATGAATGAATTGCTTAACAATTCATTTGGAAATGAATATTGAGGGATTCTGATGCCTTTAACTTTGAAATGATTTAGGTAAAAAAAAAAAAAGGGCAGATGTGGCAAAATGTTAAGAATTTGTGGATCTGCATGAAAAGCGCGTGGGAATTCGCTGTCCTCTTGTTCTCATTTTTCTGCAAGTTTGCAATTTCGCAACATAAAAAAAAATTTTTTGAAAGACTTTGGAGGAAACGTTGAAGCAAGCGAGAAAGTAGGTCGTGGCCCAAAAGACCCGGATTCAGCGTCTGAGGGGCCCCGTGAAACCGTGTGCTGTTAAGAGCAAGGCCATGTCCCTGTCTACTGTCCCTAGCACAAGTAGGCACTCAAGCATCTGATCACTGGATGGACGGATTCATGAATAAAATTCTGGCTCCAACACGTGTCAGGCACGCGACCTTCCGCAGGTAGTTTCTCTGAGCATGTGCAGAACAGAACAGTGACGCGGGCCAGCCTTGCTGGGCTCCTGTGCCCTCGGAGAGAACGCGTACCAAGGGCGCACCAATATGCCAGCTGGCATATACCTGGGGCTCAGCGAATGGTGCTATCGGTTCTCTGTTTAGATGACTCAAGGTTTTAAAAATCCCTGAGATTGAAAAGTGCAAGTGGCTTTGGTTTTCATCTGATTTATGGGCATGACAAGATCGGAGAGGTCTAATGGCCGCCTTCCTTGTACTTAACAGGTTACCTCAAAACACCCCTTTGCTGACCTCTCTTGCTAAACACTCCACTCTTAGCAGGCACAAAGTATTTCTCCACAACCTCATCTGACCACATGGGACATCGCTTGTAGCAGAGACATGGGAGCTGGAATGGGTTTCTCTAGAACTGGGAAGTTCTCATGACAAGGTTTTCCCGGCACAGTAGAGCCATGGGTCATGTTGTCTCAAGGTGCTGGGTTGGAAACCCCTTTCTCAGGAGTTTCTCAGCTACTGGAAGCCCGATCGATTCTGAGATGGCTCACGGGGTGGGACTGGTGAGGAGCAGAAGGCAGATGGGGTTCCTCGTGGGAGAGGTTTGGTAGCGAGAATGAGGACAGGAGACGGAGGCCAGGCTGAGAGAAGGCGCTCAGCCACTTTCTTCCTCCGGCACGTGATCCCAACACACTGAGCCGGGGTGACTTGTGACTTTTGAGACCAGGGTGAATGACTTATGCGCTCTAACACGCCCCGAGGCGGCGGGAGTGCTTACCCCTTCCTTCAGCTCTTGAGTCTTGTGAATCTGACAGCAAACAAAGTAAGTTTAGGTTTCAATAAATCCCCCTGTCAGCCTGACGGCATTTAAAAATTAAACAATAACAAAAAGGGCTTCATGTTGAACTTTGGATCTGCTTATAATAAACTCCGTGGGGTAATGACTCAGATTTTGGCAGGAAAGGCTTTCCGAAGGCTGCCGAGCCGGTGACGGACAGAAAGGGGGGGGGGGGGGGCCAGGACACCAGGCTAGAGATTTAGGAGAGGCCTGAACTCCTTCCTCAGAGGTGCCGGCTCCTAGGTAAGATCGGCTCCTAGGTAAGATGGAGAACTTCTTGGCCTAACACCTGGTGGCCAAGCTGACTCTGGCTCTCCCGTGACACCATCCCGAATTACCTCCCGGAGTGAGAAAAACGGGGAGGTGAGAAAAACCAGCAACCCTCCTCCCCCCCCTCAGTGTTTCACCCTGTGGGGTGTAACTAACTGGCTTTTCCACTGGTCTTTTTGAGGAACTTGTGTTTCAGAGAATAATAGCGATAGACAGGGTAATCCCTGCGTGCTCTAACCCAGGCCCCACTGGCTATTTGAGAAAAGGATTAAGTATTCTCTCCTCTTAAGAAGCCCTTTAGAGCTATGCAACCCTAAACAAATACTTCCTTTAGAAGGTGATTCTCTTGTTTACACTGCACAGACATTTGGGACATTCCGCTCACACCTCAGAGGATACTGGATGGCCTGACCTCTGGGGCTGAAATCCAGCTAGGACTGAGGATAAGGCACCAAACAGGTGGAGAACCTAAGGCAGCTTGCTCGGCCTGTGGCCTCCCTTTCCTCAGTCAAAGCGGTGGTCGCACCATCTACCTCAAAAGGGTACCGTGAGGACTCCACGAGTGAATCCCTATAAAGTGATCAGAACAAGGCCTGGCTCGCAGTGAGGACTCCGTACATATTCGCTCCCATGACTCGCGGATCCAGGCAATGGAAAGAAAGTGAATTCTCACTAGGCCGGTCAGGCACCCACTTTGCGGGGCAGGCCAGGGTTCGGCCTGTCGTCCCGAAGTAATTGTTAACAGCAGTCTGTTTTTCTGTCAAGAACGTCCTGGTCTGGACAGTAAGTCACACAGTCACCTTAAAAGGTCACTCAACTGAGATGCAAACGCAAGGTATTTTACGGGAAGGGGGGAGAGGGGAGGGAGAAAGACCTCAAAGAGGCTTATTTGTTTTAAGTACCTGAAGAAGCAGGACTAGCTCTGTCTGTCGTCATTGTTGCTGTTTGCTACTTAAGGCTAAGGATCCTCTGAAGAGACTGAGGGAAATGAGCCAGTAGAAAGGGAAAGAAAGGCTTGACTGGGGAGCTAAGACAGACAAGGGGACAGGGAAGCCATATTGACTGACGGAGGCCAGCCAGGGAAGGAGGCAGGAGACCCCGCTCCCTCTTGGTCAAGAAAAAGAGACCGTCTGAGTCTGGAAGAGGAAACAGGGGCTGTTCCCCAGCAGAGGCCCTCCGTCTTCCCCAGAAAGGGCACTGGTGGGGTGGGGACAGCATGAGAGCAGGGCCAACCAATGAAGGAAGGGAGGGGAGACGGGTCTAGATGCCCTCAAGAGTTCAGCTGAGGTTCGAAAGTGCAAATGTACCCAGTCATCAGCTCAGTCAATTTTCTTCCAGAACACTTAGCAGCCCAGGGGCAGGAATGAAGGAAGTAAAACAACTAGCCCGTCGGTGCAGTCGGCACTTTGGCCACGGGATGTGGCAGAATGCTCAGGGAGGGAGTGGCGGCAAGGGTTACCTTACAAGTAAGTGTATTTAGGGTCCACATACCTCCACAGAGCATTTGGCAAAGAAAACCGTGGTTTAAAGTGATGCTATGACCCAAAGGGCATCACCGCCCAGGAGGCCGACAGGTACCCACAAGGCAAAGGTCGGCACCAGGCGCGGTGAGGGTCTGAAGGTCTTCAAGACAAATTTTCGCAGAACATGGATGAACAGCAGGGGATTTCTTGCACGTCTCCCACCAGAAAACTCAAAGTGGGCTAGCGGGCTTTAGAAAGAACAAAGCAAACGGCTCAAGCCGGGACGAGGGTCCCCCTATTCGGAGCCCCGTTGTCTCTCCCTGCCACGTGTCCATCTACCCACCGCCGAAGGGTGGTGATGAGCTCCAAGCGGTCACAAAATGAGCAGTTCTAACAAAGTCGCTACGATTCCCGGGCGTAACTGCCGTCTGATCGCTTGAGGCTCCTGGACCCCTTTTCCACTTTAATTTCTATTCATCAGCAACGTAACTTTGATTCTGTTAACTATATAAAGTCTGGGTATGCGTGTGGGGGGTGAAACATCACACTCCCATCTTCTGTAAAAGCCAGCGGCTCAGTGCGTGTGACCCACGCAGAAACTGAGGCCGTTCCCTGCTCGGCGGCCTCCATCCAGCCTCTCCGGGACCGCATCGTCAGTAGTTTTCTCCCGCCTACACCACAGAGAGTTCAGGCTCAGTGGGAAACTGCGTTGATCTCAAGAGGCCGTTTTTAGTTTGCCAAATCAAAGCTTCTCTCCTTCAGGCTGGGCTCGCCCAGTAGGAGGGATGCGGGGCTGGGAGGGGCTCAATTTATTTGTTGAACCTAAGGGAACCTAAGTGAGGCTGGGAGGCCAGGAGGCCACACCCAACGATTGGCTGTCACCTACCACTCACAGGATGCTTTTCTGACATGTAAACTACCTACTTGGCTAGGCTACTGGGTGGATGCAACAAATCGGCATAAACCTGCCTGGCACGCCGTAGGTACTCAGTATATGTGCATAGCCTCCTATTTCCTTCCAGAAAAACACCCAGTCGGGATCATCCGATTATCCAAGAATGCCAACTGAGTTTAGATCAAAGTAAGATGTTACTTTTCCCTACCTTTCCTTACTTTCTTTAATCAAGTCACTTAGACCCCCTCATCCCATTATAACGTAACTTCCAAGGTTTCCGTTTTAGGATGTTACATTTTATTTATTTATTTTAGTTTTTTTAAATGTTTGTTTACTTTTGAGAGACAGCATGTGCGCTTGCACGTGAGTGGGTGAGGGGCGGGGGTGGGGGTGGGGAACAGAGGATCCAAAGAGGGCTCAGAGGACCAAAGATCCAAAGAGGATCAGAGGATCCAAAGAGGACCACAGAGAGCCTGATCTGGGGCTTGAACTCATGAACCGCGAGATCATGTTCTGAGCCGAAGTCGGATGCTTAACTGACTGAGCCACCCAGATGCCCCAATTTTAGGACGTTGCATTTTAATTCACTTAGGCTCAACAAACAAATTGAGCCCCTATTGTATATAAAGAACCCTGCTGGTCACTGTGGAGGGGGTGGGGTTCAAAATGGGGAAAACTCTGGAAACGCACCAAGTGTCCAAATTTTGGTAAAGGTGGGACGACTTCCTGCAGGATGCAGCATTTGCACAGAGCCTCGAAGGGCAGGTAGGACTTTAAATTCACACGCCTGCTTGTATAAACCTATTGGATGCTGCTCTCTTTCAGGTTCTACTTTTCAGACATATTGTCTCTTCTGTCGATAAGTATAAACCATAAGAAAAGGCTCACTGGATTCAAAACATGGATTAAAACTCTTCTGAGAAACATGCAAACAAAGAAGGGTACAGGCCTGTTAATAAAATGCCTGGGAGGGCACCGACTTCTTGCTCTGATTACATTTGAGGGTCACCAAAGAGCTCTAGCTGATGAGGTAAAGCCCTGTTGTTCCGAAGAATTTCAGCCAATATGGAGGGGCAGTCAGTCACCTTTGACGATCTCTCATGGGACACGGGGTCGGGCAAGGACTGTCCACGGATGAAGACATTAGATGGAAGGTTGATGGGGTACCTGGCAATGCAGGCATCATGTGGCCACAACCGGAACTGACTGAACAATCTTGGCATCGCTAAAACTTGGACATCCAGACACTGGTCACCCGGATGTGAGGCCATGTGAGCCTCCCCACAACGCCTATGGCGTTCTCTTGCCAAAAGCCTAACCCAAATCCAGTCAAAGCTTGAGGGCCAACTTCCACTTACAGGAAATGTGAGCCATAAACTAAACGACGCCACAAGGGCTTCTAGAAGGCGGAACAGCGTACAGAGCAGGTGACCTGGGTTTTTGCAACAAGTCTCTGACTTGAAAAAAATGGAAGGCGGGGGAGAGGTGGCAGGCTTTAGATTAACACCAGGAGTACATGACCTGGGTTTGTATCCTGCTGGGAACAGATCACGGACAATGGC